CACATTGCGCAATCGCTTGCCAATCGCTCGACCGAGAGCGATTGGCAAGCGACGGACAAGCGATGGAGCGATCGCGATCGCTCCATCGCTTGGTCCGTCGCCGACTATGACGTCGGTCTAAGGCATGCAGCAGAACTCAGATGACTCCCAGAGAATGTAAAAGGGCCCAAAATTTTACCAACCTGATATTTACGAGAATGAAACCTCTTGTGAACAATTAATACTCATTATACTACCAACCTCCGCACAAATCTAGAGATCAAATGTTGCCAGTCGTTCATAGTATTACATCACCCCTAACCAATTATTTAGTGACTAGCACCATTGGATGCAGCATGTAGTAGGAGGTGTATAGCAAACAGCGAACAAATGAAACCGAGAGAACACATTCCAATCCAGATCAGAACTACCTGGAAAATTGCTACACTTCCTTCAGTGAACATTGCGTGTTGAAATCGGGTTCCATCATTGAATTCAACCTGCATTGATCCTGTCAGGTCCTCAATATGGTAGCAGTGACTCTGAAAGTTGAAGAATCCTGTTTGCATAAGAGATCACACACAAGACGGTGCCCAACACCAACCATCTACCCTTCTTCTCATCTTCATTCCACCAAGGGAAAGCGAACATCTTTCTGTCCTCCCCCTGTACCCTTGAACCCAATGTGAATTGTCGTTAAGCGAGAAGGCTACCAGCTTCTTTGCTCCAACTCTATTACACAAAGGTAACCGATGGAAATATCTACTTCCACAAGGCACTGCAGAACACTATACACGCGAACGCGCGCGCCACTATATCCTCTGGGTTAATCAACTTAAAATTCATCAGATATCGTAATTTTCATAATTTACTAATTATTCATCCACCCATCAGAAATAAAAGTCTTAATTGCATATGCATCGTAAGTGGAACACAGCAATGATACCACCAAGAAAAAAAAAAGGAGCATACCTTCTGTTGCGTGAGCATGCCAATAACAATGACATCGTTCTGCACACGTGCGCTCCCTAGCAAGGTCTCTATTGTAGTAAACTTGATGCTTTGCAGTTGTTTACAGCGTGCTATTCGCTGCAATGGCCACCATGACAAAAATAAAAGTTATCCTCGAAAAGGCTTAAGAACAATACTTACCTGAGTTACAAGCTGGAACCTGTGTCTGATTGCATCAGTAGCCTTATCGACTGTAGATATCACTTTGGGAGGTTCATCGACGGACATCATTTTTCGACAATTTGCATCGAACACAAATCGACGTATAGAGAAGGAATCGAACACGTTAAACAACGAGGTGCTACAAACGATGTAACATGAATGTTTTGACAGGAAGATTTCCGACAAAATAGCTAGAAAACTTTATCCGCAACTGACCTCTGCTGCGCTCCTCGATTAGAAATTTGTGAAAACACTTCACGTATAACGTCCTGGGTGACAACCGATGTGGAAACTATAAGTGTCTAACTGAGAAGCTGTTCAAACAATTGAAAAAACAGAACAACACAAAAGTGCTACCTACGACACTCACGTGACTGCTTCCTGATGGTCTCAACTAATCTTCGTCATCCATTTCTTTCGCTTCTCTTTATCGAAATTTATATATCGCTTCCACGCAAATATCTAACACTTCCCTGACAAACAACACGTCAATGATGAAAATCGTCAATGTAAATCATAACGAATCACCTACTTCTTTGCCTCAAGGGCATTGATCCTGAATGACGAAGAGATTTCTCGACGGACTCTGGACTTCTCTACGTCTTCCATCCTTCAACCCAATTCTATTAGGAACCAGCAAACGAATTCTTTGTTTTAACGGAAAAGATTATGAAAGTGGTGCATGCAACCATTAAATGAGCCAACATAGGCATGTCTGACAACTTTATTCAAAGACAGCCACAATAAATCCAAACAGTAAACACAATTCAAGTCGACACTTCTGATGGAAATGAGCAGCGGACCATAACCAATAAATAAGAAGAACTAATTTAATAGTGAAAACTGAGATATCGTCCATGTGATGGAAAGCGAGTTTAGTAAAGTCAAGAGAAAAATTTAACTAATGCGGCGGACCGGGACGAAAAGGTGCAGCTGGTGGTCCACGCATTGGAGGCATACCCATCGGTACGCCGAACGGCGGCATCTGAAAGAATCAACAAATTTGTTTGAATCCCTTCCCTATAGAAACAAAGTAATCTAGGACTTACCGCTCCAGGAAAACCAAACGGTGGCATTGGCCCACGCATTCCTGCAACCGGAGCACCGACCATTGGTGGTCGACCCATCATCGCAGGCATCATGGGTGCTCCCATAGGCGCACCCATTCCAGGCTTACCGAGAGGTTTCGTCGTATTACCCCCCGTAAACGCTCGTGCCGTAGCGTCCACTAACTTCTGTGCCTGCTCCTCCATCCAACGCTGAAACAAACATTACTGTCGCACAAATTCATACACCCACAACGATCAAGACTGCCCAGATTCACAATGAAAAATATCACATCACGAACAGAACGGACGTTCTTCCTTACCGACACTCACATTCAAAGGAAGCGAACTAAATTATGAAGATTAAACTTGCCTGATAGAACATACGGACGTTTTCCTTATGCTTGCGTCCACCATTGTGTGTCTTACGAACAGATGGAGAATCGTGGGTGAGGAAAGTATCGCAGTAATCGCAATAATACTTCGGCATAACTTCGAATGAAAAAAATTAGAAGATGCAGCGTCTAAATCTGAACTCAATAGGTACTATCGTTGACGACAAACAACATTTCACCATTAAAAAAACAGCAGTACTGTATCTTCATTTACAACACTTTCACAGAAAGCAACAGAGAATAAGTCGCAATGGAACAAATATACAAACAAGCTAAGCTAGAATACAAAATTCTCAAAATAGAAAATAACAGCCAAGTATTTAGAGCTTTGCAGCATAGGGTTAAGTCATCACAGATAACTAAATGCATAGTCGATTTGAGAAAAAATAAAATTAGGAGAGCACCTTCTCTATTGGAGGCGGAGGCGCATAAAACAACAACTATGAACATTACAAGTTTTCCATCCTCGTATAATTTTCTTCTGCTCTGAGGTGAAAAGAGGTGAAAAGTGCGCACGTTGAAATCAAAAACTGTCCCTCCTATTCCAATCATATAAAAAATGTTAAAAGCGTATCAAGCTCTCTCAATCACATCAGTCTAGAATAATTAATACCGTATTAACGCTTCACACGTATCATCAATGATTTCGGGATAGATAAAAATACTCCTATGGATTGAAAAAGAGGGTATCCGTAAAAATGAGAGGCAATTTAAAACCTATGTTGAATACGTCCCTGCTGTAAGCTGCATGATCGCATTACACCGCTCACATATCTTGATAACAATGATCAATTTGCTATCGCTCTAACAGCCGTCCAACCAATTTGCACAGTAAGTGTTTTTTACACCCCGAGAAATTTGTGCAGCGCTGTATTATCTGGAGAATATGCCTTTGAGTCGATACCAATAACTTCCTGGCGACCATGGGAGGATAAGCTCGACCCTTGCCACGTCCGAGACACTTCGTTTTGTCTTTGGATACCTTAAAGATTTCGAATATGCTATAAGAATATCTCAGAGGAATGCTGGAATGTTAACAAAGCTTTCGCCCCAGACGGACTCGAACCTGCACCCTTTTTTCTAAAAGCAAAAAGCAACCCAGCGTTTTGTTCACAACCCAGCATCCTTGGGAGACATTCGCATGCGAACTGCGGCCAAAAACAGAAGTTAACAATAAAAACAACAGTCAAAAATCAATTGCTATAAAAACAGTTGATAAGATCACTCACTTGACAGAAGAAGCCTTTCGAAGCACTAAAACGAATACGGTTTTTAAAGTCAAAATCAGGGAGTCCTAGCTTGTCCGCCAATTCCAGTAACACCTGAGAAAATGTTTAAAATCAGATTTTCCTAACTTACAGACCTTCAAAATATATTGGAACATAATATCGTAGCGTTCTTTTTTTTTTTCGAGCATATTAACGAATAAGTAACAAGTATTACCCAAAACCGCGCAAATCATTTAAAGGTGTTTTTCCGCACTAATGCATTATTTGTTATTTTCTTCAGAACTTTCATTGTACTCAGAGATAGAAGTTGGAAAATCCAGGCGGCAGAAATCGGCATTTCGACAGCTGCTATTTTTCAGTTCACATAAAGAAAAAAATACCGTCAAAACAAAAGTTCTTCAGAATCCATCGTTCTTATCAACCTCTCTCTAGCCCCCCACATTTTTCGCTCAATTCTGAACCATATATGTAGTGCAAGCAGGGTGAACATTGCTTGAGGATTCCTCAACGGCATGTCGAGGATTTTCGCCTGATCTACTCTCGCACAGCGGAGAGCGACGGTCGAGGAATTCCTCAACCGTTACTCATCTTGAGTGCAAGTCGAGAATAATGAGGACTTGAAGAATTTATGTTTTGGTATGTATAATGATTTACGTGACTAGCTGCATTGCTGACGTACAATTCAGTGTTTTTATTCTACCAATAGCGTGGTAGCAATTAGGCCGAACTGGGACGTATGAAAACGTCCATCAGCTATGAAGTCTCAAACCGCGATTTAACCCCTGAATTCTGGATGTGGTAAGAAGCGCGTATCGCCACTACAACCATCCAGCTTATATTGGTTGAGAAAAGATGTCTTCGTTGAGCTGACAGGGTCCCACACACATCCTGTTTTATGGGTCTCAAAACGTATACTGACCATTTGATGAGCGCAAATGATTGCCGCTCATTCACTTCTCTGAGGGTGCTAAAATAAACTCATGTGAAGGCACCATGTTGCCTTCACATAGACTTATTTCGACACCCACAGAGAGGTTAATAAGCGGTAACTAGCACCCATATAGAGGTGAATAGGCGTGATGGACCATGCGCAGCACAAGATACACAAAGAGCTAAATATATCATTTAAAAATGAAAACACACAGATCTACCATAAAGACCGACC